TCCAGGGGCACATTGATCTCAGCAAAGGTATTTCTAGCCTAAAACTAAACAAGAACATAAATTTAGAATTGCGGCCAGGCTAGTTTTCCAGCAGGTTGGACACTCCTAATAGCAGTCCTGGAGCAGTTTTCCGCCTCAGGTGAGGTACCGTTCTCAGGTTCTCAGTTCCTCCTGCCCTTGGAATGTCCTTACCATCTGGAAACCAGTCACACTCATGCAGACTGTCATGTCCATAGAGGCTCCTAGGCCAGCAATATCCCTAGGCCACCCTAACATTTCTAAGCTACCCCAACATGCTATACTGTATGTACCTCATCCACATTTCAAAACCAATTAGTCTTAAGTTTTCATTTTTCCCAACACACCCTCTGTCATCAGTAAATAAGACTTTGAATAAATCCTATACATTTTTTGATCCCCAGTTCCATGATATGTAAAAAGATAACTTGTCCCAAAGGATTTTGGAGGGACTCAAATAAACAATGGATGTAAAAAATACCTTGCACAGGGTGGTACATAGCAGGGTCTAAGTAAATACTTGCTTATGTGGTTGTCTTTCTACTAGAACCTGAGCTCCTTGAAGAGTATGTTATATTAAAAAATTAGAAGGTGCTTATAGGTGTCCGCTGAGTGAATGAGAGAATTCTTCTTCCTCGGAATATTCACTCTTTCATTCTGAGCCACTTCCAATTCTTGCTCATTGCAGTTCCTCTGTCCACCTCCTAACCTAGTTCAATTTTCCAGCCCTGATCTGGACCAAGTCAATATTGTTAGCTGATGACAGGAAAAAAAAAGCAATAACACAAACATGGCCACACCCTATGATTATATACAGTCTCAAGTTAGTGTGCACCACCAGTATCCTGTGTTGGGACACAGTGACCAGAAATTGGCAATATCACTAGGTCTGTTGGGGCGGGAAGATATAAAATGGAAGTAGAAGCAAAGCCCAAAAATAGAGATAATCACTGGTAGTGACACATATTGAGACTATGAACATAACAAGCCGTGCGCGGTGGCTCACTCCTGTAATCCTAACACTCTGGCAGGCTGAGGTGGGAGGATTGCTTTGAGGTCAGGAGTTCGAGACCAGCCTGAGGAAGAGTGAGACCCCCATCTCTACTAAAAATAAAAAACAAAAATTAGCCAGTCGACTAAACATATAAACAAAAAATTAGCCAGGCATGGTGGCTCGCCCCTATAGTCCCAGCTACTCAGGAGGCTGAGGCAAGAGGATCGCTTGAGCCCAGGAGTTTGAGGTTGCTGTGAGCTAGGCTGATGCCACGGCACTTACTCTAGCCAGGGCAACAAAGCGAGACTGTCTCAAAAAAAAGAAAAAAGAAAAAAAGAGACTATGAACATAACAAAAGCTAGAAACCAAGCAATTCCAATTATTCCTGGTAAACCATAATCAGAGTAAATGAAGTTCTATAAAAGAATGATCAATTATACTAAATCAAACTTTTAGAATGCTTTGATGAATATGAAGAGAAAAAAATGCCAATAGCTAACAGAAAATTAACAAAAATTAATAAATGAATGTTCAACATAGATTTCTAAGAACAGATTCTAAATTACCAAGAAATTTTGCATTGTAAGATAGTTTATGGTAATAGTTGAATTCACAGTTGAGCTTCCAAGGTAGTAATTATCTTTTCCCTTTCTTGTTCCAAAGTTTCCATTCCATGGGGGGAAAAGGTACAAGAAAATGCAAGAATTTCCATGAAATGCATTGCTTAGAGACAACTAACTGGTTATAACATTACTTTTACAATTTAAACTGATCCATGCTGGTCTGATGATGATGTTGCTTTGAATGCAAAATAGTGCTAATTTAAGCCTCTTACCCACAAGACACACAGAAAAAGTACACTGCAAATTGTGGACTATCTAAGGAAAAACATTTATACATTTACTATGACAAATGTTTTATATCTAATTTAGTGTGAACTCGTATTTTATACAAATCAAAACAAACTAAATTAGGGGAGAATTCCTGTGCTGGCCAGTCTCTAAGATGGCTCCAGATGTTTCCTGCTGGTTGGTAATCATGCTCTTATGTAGTTAGCTCCCAAAATGAACAGGGCTGACCTATGTAACCAATAGGATATTGCTACATGGTGGTATGTGACTAAATCATATAAGACATCAAGGCTTCTGCCTTGTTCTGTCTTGGATTGCTCACTCTAGGGAAAGCCAGCCGCCATGAAGACACTCAAACAGCCCATGGAAAGGCCCACCACCGAAGAAGTGAGGCCTCCTGCCAATAACCAGAATCAACTGCCAGGCATGTGAGTGAGCTACCTTCGAAACTAATCCTGTAGCTGATCTCTAATCAAGCCTTGACATGACAGTAGCCCTGGCAGATATCTTCACTGCAACTTCATGAGAGATCCAGAGCCAGACCCACCAAGAAAGCCATTTCTGAGTTCCTAACCCACAGAAACTGTGAGGTAAAAAATGTTTATTGTTGTTGTAAGTCACTACATTTTGGGATAACTTATGCAGCAGCAATAGATGAGTAATACATTCCATTAATATAATTCCTCAAACTTTAAAGATTCCTTCTTTAGTATGTCTGAAGAGCAAGAGCCAGGGGTAGAAATTCTTACTAGAAGTCCCATAGAATCCACGTGCTAAATCTAACCCTTTTCATCTTCTGGTTTCCAGCTGGTATTAAACGATGAGGTAAACATATTGAATCTAGCTCTCGGGTAAACCATCTAGTCTTTTAGAAACAAAAAAATCAATGATTCTTGGATGATGCACAGATACAGTCAGCATTTCTATAAATTATAATCAGTGCTATTATCCCATTTTTAATTGACTGTTATGCAATCAGTCAACTATACATCCAAGAATAGTAGTTAAAAGTTGGGGGCGGGGGGCATTAAAATGGCTTTAAGATTATAATTCACAGAAGCTTCACAGGGATAATCTGTTTCGCTTAAACTGGGGAGTGGTTAAAAAAAATAAAATCCTCTACATATACTTCCTAACTATGATGAGAGGAAGTGGAGGCTAATTTCCAGTTAAGAGTTTCAAAGTGCCAACTAAACATGCTATCTCTCCGCTGGGTTCTGAAACAAGTAGGAAATACGCAGACCAAGAAGATAGGTATTTATCGGTTTTATTAACTAAGAAAACCGAATGGAAGTGTGTGTATTGTACCTGAGACTAAAGCGGGCTTCCCTCTCCGTCCCTCCAACCTGTAACATTCGGACCAGTTCCATGCAGGGCAGCCAGAAATCTCAAGTTTTCCCCTCTCACTGCCGGTTTTTTCACAGTAGAGAGAGACGCGGGGAGAGAGGGGGAGAAAGGGGGACAGAAAAGAACAAGAGAGGCTTGAGTGCCAAGTAGGCCCAGAGAGTGAAGAGAAGAGAGGTACCGGGAACAGTGGACTCACTGGCATATGCCTTGGAGAATCCAAAACGCAGTAATCCAGTGCCCCGAAGCTCAACACACTCAGAGCTCTGGCTGTTAATCAGCCTGGAAACAAGGCAAAACAGGGCAAAAGAACAATTCCTATCCACTGGACGCTTACAGCCACACCGCGGCGCTACCGATACAGGCAGTATAGAAGGCTAAAGCAAAAAAAAAAAAAAAACAAAGGGAAAGAGTATTCAGGTGTGGTGCGCGTGAGGGTGCGAGCTAAAGAGCAGACCCCCAGCTCCAAGTCAGCTGTACAGACAGGCAAGCTCGTCCGCGGCTAGAAAACCGCCCCAGCCCACCACCAGCTCCAGGGGAACCCGTGGACCTTTACACTGGGCGAGGGGAGAGGGGCAACCCCGGAGGCAAGCCGGGCCAGAACCTAACCCTCCATCGAGCCGGCTCAACTCAGGGTCAGCCCAGAGTCGCCCCGCCCAGAGTCGAGAGACTCCTGAGTCCCCCGTACGGCCGGCCGTCCGCTCGGGTATTTGGGGCAGGGGAGGAGGGGGATCCTGCCAAGCAAAAACGTCAGCGCACTCCCCTAGTTCCTACCTCATCAGCGCCCGCGGCGGTGGCGACTCTGGAGGCCCAGGCCACGGGAAAGGACCCCCGAACCCGCTGCCCGCTGGGAAATGTAGTTCCGCGCCCCGGTCCTGCCTGCCACCCGAACGCTCCGGGCGTTTGTTTAGATTGGTATTTGCTTCCCCCGAGGACTTGGAACTCCGGCCCCGCCCCAGGCGGTGCAGTGCACTATGGGCATTGTAGTCTTGTTCTGTTCGGTGGCGCACGGGTGGAACGGAGACGCATCGCGGAAACGGAACACTCTTACCCCATTGGACGCCGTCCCCAGTACGCTTCTGCGCAGTCTGTGGTGGCGTCGTAACGCCTCGGGGAAAGGGAAGCGGACGGGGACCTAGAATTGCTGCCTTTGGCTTCGTATTTTTTCACTAGCAGGATTTGGTCACTGGGTCTTCATCTTTTGTCTGTTGCACGCATCCCGCCCTCCCCATTTGTTTTCCCAGTCCTTGGATCCAGCCCAGTGGGCATTCACGTCAGTACTCTCACCCCGCCGTGAGCCCCCTCTTGGTCCCCGGGCGAGCCTGGCACGGAGGCGGTAACTATGGAGAATATGGCGGAGGAGGAGCTGCTATGCCTGGAGAAGGAGGAGGTGGAGGTGGCCCAGGTCCAGGTCCCGACCCCGGCCCCGGACTCGGCTCGGGTCCCAGCTCCGGCCCCGGATTCGGCTCTGGACTCGGCTCCGACTCCGGCCTCGGCTCCAGCCCCAGCCCCTGCCCTGGCCCAGGCTCCGGCCCTGTCCCCGTCCCTAGCGTCTGCCCCTGAGGAGGCTGAAAGCAGTAAGTGCAGGAGGCCCCAGATCTTTCTGCCGCAGGAGAAGCGAGAAAAGTGCGCCTTTCTGGGAAGTAGGGGAGGCCCTTCTTCACCGGGATGGTTTTTAGGAGGAAAGTCAGGTTTAGGGAAATGCAGGGAGGGAGGAGGGACCCGGGTAGCGGGTAAAGCAGACATACAGAATGGGCGAAAGCATCTCCATAAGCCTGAGGACATCACGGTGAAGGGTATGTGGAGGCCAGGGGTGCTGCAGATAGAAGGAAATAATGAAGTTAAGGGCTTCTTGGTTAAAGGGGGTCTTTTTATGGTACAAAAATAGGAAGTTACACCTAATTTGGTAGTTTCCCTCTCAACCCAGTCAGCCATCGTTAACCTATGTCCTTTCAAATATGACATAGTAACCGAAACAACCTGTTTACGATTCTGGTAGATCCTGGCTGCCAAGATTTAGAAGCCATGACTGTCAACTAGCTTTTCTGCTTCGACATACACAAAGATGTGGGTTTTTCTCGTTATTTCATTTTCTTTAGCAGCTTGCTTCCAAAAAGAATTTGAGACTGATGAATAGTTTAGCAAAGAATGACTAAATTTATGGATGTCTTCCCCCATACATTAATTGAGTTTTGTACTCCATTCCATAGGAACTTGACTGTTGAAAATTAATAACCCATATTATTGTGCTTCTAATGTGCTTGCATGTTTTCTAAGTAATAGTTTATTGGGCCATATTGGAATATAAAAGATTGATGAATAACACTTTAAGGATCTTCTGAACATTTTTAAGTGTAAAGTCTAAGAAAAATTTAACGAAGTTCTTTTAACAAATTATTTTGTGATCCATAAATTGACTTTTATTCTCTTTCTGAATTATAACTTAAAATATCTTAAGTTAATCCATCGTCTTTCCTACTTCTAGACCAGTTTTGAGTTTAATGTTTATAAAACACTTGGATAGTTGTAGTCTAATTATTTTGCAATTTTGAAACAACTAAAAATTATTAGAGATTTAAGAGTAGGGCTGATCACAGGAAAGACAAAGTCAGTATACCTCAAGTAGGCCCCTCCTCCTCATAAAAGATCGAAGCTTGTAGGTACAAAATAAGGCCAATTATTTCTTCGCCACAACTACAGTGGGTTGGGAGGGGGATGATGGTATTAAACTCTCCTGAGTAGCCTCCTACCTCACTTCCAGATTGTATCTGTTTATCTGTTTATATTAATTAAAAGTGGTTCAGCAGCTTTAGGGAATGCATGCTTTCTTCACCTCTCCACCAGCAAAAATATGTTAAATATAATTTGGAAAGATTTATTCATATATTCAAAAATTTACAAATATGTAATTTGAAGAATGTATACTGTTTGAGAAGCCTGAAAATGCATTAATGGGACAAATATGTAATAATTGAGAAATCTGAAATGCATTAAAACTAAAATATATATTAATCACATTAAAAAAACGATTTTTAGATGGTCTAGTCAGTCATAACTAGGCAAGTTGAAGACGTCCTGTCTGAAATAGAATTGAAAATTGAGGAAAAAGTAACAGAAGAAGTTGTAAAAGACCCTCCTAGCATCTTGTACTCATCTGATTTAACAGGAGGTTTGCCTATTGACTTCTTGATTATTGGTGTGTTACGAAAAGCAGGTTGAGTAATTCAAACACAGATTGTCTGATATCTACTATCTTGAACCAGAAAATAATTTCAGAGATATTTATAGACACATCATGAATTTTTAGACAGATTTTCTAGAGTTTTCTTCAATAGTGGAACCACAGGATTTTTAATTCTCTAACTTAGCAGGCTCCTTTCTCTTATTTTGTACTATTTAATAGTTAGAATAATTTCAATAAGTACATTTTTAATGTAGTACTATTTTATCTTGTTTTCACGTATACAGATCTTTGAACTATGGAAACCGAAAGCCTTTATGGTTACCAATTAGATAGGTCGGTTTGTACACATGGATTCATTTCCTGAATATTATCG